ATACAAAGCACGCACAAAAATCTGATGTATACCAAATAAACTTAGAGGGCAATTAGGAGTGGGAAAAACATTTAAGAGGCTACAGATACATTGTGTTGAGTAAAGAATGGTATATTATTTGTCCAAAACCAATTAGGTGAATATTTACGAAATTAGTTGAAGATTACGTAAGGAGCAACAAAAAGTATCTCATGCATGCATATATCTAACTCATGCTTTTTATATTGGTATGACAATATAGATATACTTCATGATTTTCGATGTAAATTCTGGTGCAGCATGCATCATTTAGATATATTATCCATGACGGTATAAATATACTTCCGTATACCCACCGACCTCAGGTTCGAAGAGAGGCAAAGTGTGGTCGCTACCCGAATGAGGGTAATGTGTTGCACCATAGGTAGTTGCTCCATGGTAATTCGACGCTGATCTGAAGGTTAAATAGATGAACGATTAATCATATAATTAATTCTGTTTGGGGCATTTGCAGTTTAGATCGTACGTGACCTTGCATTGGACACAGGCTAGTACTAATAGATACCTGATGATGGGAGTAGTTGGGGATTCGCCATATCTCATGTCTCCTGATCTCCATCCATTATAGGCCATCTATGTATGTTACAATACACATGCATGTCTGGTTAGGCAGCACACACCGGGCATAAGATATGCAGGATGCATGATGATAAGGCTATCACGTGCATGGGAGAATAAAATCTGATCTTTGGTTGCAATGATACTCTTGTTCTTCCCTGCGGATTCACACGTATACATATACAAAAAGGCTCTAACATAGTGTATCATATTATCGTGCATTATTGATACAGCTAGCACATGCTACTACTAGAAAAGTATTGCTGGGACGATTTAAAGCGTCAGAACAAAAATTAAAGGGAAATTTACATAATTAATATAGATTTTCTGTCCAACTTTTCCCGATCTTGTTGGGTGATCGCTGATTTTTTTGTTACTAAATTGTGTTTAGTCAACTAAATTATCAAAAATGAATGGACAATCATTAACGTAGCCATGGATTAAGGCGATAACAATGATTAACCGAGCAATATTCTATTAATATGAAATCGAATCTTAGCATCTATATGAAGTACTTGGTTGATACACTTGGTGACGAATTTAACTCCCAGTTCAGAAAAATTGTATATACCAGAAGATTTCGTTGAGTCCGGTACAATGGTATATAACATATATTGATGTTAATAAACAGCAGCCATTCACTCATCTCTGGACTTCTGTGGTGAATAAATAAATTTATCTGAAAGAAATATGTCCATATAAATTGATTTCACCTACGAGACGGTGTCGATGATCAAACCACACTTACATTTGTCATACAAAACAACTGCACGTACGATACGATTCAAGTACGACACAAAATCGGATGGTTGCCCGCAATTTGCACTAGCATTTGAACGGTCTGATGAGTAGCGGAAGAAAATTGTGCGGAAAAGATCATATGTATAGCATGGCTCTTTGTGATAAGATTGAGGAAGCACTGTATTATGTGTAATCAACCAAACTATCCAAAATGAATGAACATGCATCTTTAATCTAGGGAGCCATCTAAATTAACCTACCTACCGGTAACATACATCAGGCAACGTTTTGGTAAGTGTGAAACCAACTGCTAGCATGTATAGTACAGTACTAGATGCACTTGGTGAAGAACTTAATCCTCAGTTGAGTAAAATTGCACATACCATAAGATTTGGATAGAACGGGTAGGTCGATGAAACGTTGGTGTTGTTAGCATGGAAGGAGGAGGACGGCGAAGACGGCAGTGAGTAGTTCAACGACGACCGTGCATCTTCCTGCTCGATCAACCAATCAAATCCCCAAATCATACCAAATCAGAAACTATGCACCTAATAGACATGTCTTGACGAGATCAGACACCCCGGTTAATGGACATAACACAAGTAATTAAGCATCAAGCTAGCTACTTCGTGCATGAACATGCGATGAGTAATTACCTGCAGGTTGAAGCTACCGGTTCCGTGGATCGACGACGACGGAGGTGGCTGTCCGACGAGAGGAGGGTGGTTCTGGTACGCGGCCATTTCGGCCTCCAACCTGATCTTCTCAAGCTGCGCGACGCCGAGGCCCCGCTGCGGCTGCCTCGGCTTCTCGACGGCGGCAGCTCTCTTGCCCCTCCTGGACCCCGACCCCGACCCCGACGACGAGGAGGAGGATCTCCCCCTGCCCCACTCCATGCTGTCCCCAAAGTTGCTTGCACTCATGGCCTCATGGGATCGTACCCAGGTATAGCTACCAACAGACAAGACCTAGGTAGGAGACGACCCAGAAATGGGGGCAGGAAAAGGAGGTGGAGGAAAAGGGGAAGCTGGGTGGTGTCGAGAGGGCCGGCCACTTAAAGTGAAAGGGAGAGATCGCCTTGCACGCCCAGTATCGATCCCTCTTAATTATTAAATGGAGACTCCAGGCTGCCTAAACGAAAGCTTGATTTCATTATTTATGTTAAGATAGCTATATATAGTGCCATGGCCTTGATGTGCTAGTTTATGCAATCGATTGGTACCATGTGACCCAAACCACATTAACGAAAGAAGAGTCAAAAGGAGTTCAGATCAGAGACAATCCCCTAATTAAAATCCAAGTCTTAAGTAGTTCAATTTCCACTACTTTAGACGATTGGAGGATCATACCATTGCATACAACCATATTTTCTTTGTGTGCATCCCAAGGCTCCGATGTGAAAACAGCAAAAAAAGCCATCACCAAGTGGCTAACATTGGGGAAGCTCGCCACCACAAGAGCACACCACAGACAACGAAAAACATGGATGCACCGCTACAACCTACCCACACACAAGTCTCACAACAACCAATATGTGTAACATCAACCCTAAAAAAAACATGTGTAATATCAAATTGAGCTACCCCATTTCTCGTATTTATAGACAACCAAAAGATAATTTTAGGGCACAGAACGATATATTGTTCATGTGCCGCCCCAGGCTATGAGCCGAATATGGCGGACATATACCAAAAAATTGCAAATTCCTGTAGTCACTATTATAGATTAAAATTGGGGAAGCTCACTGCACGATGATCGACCTATCACTCATATCAAACAACATGGATAGAATTGGGGAATTCCTATAGAGCTAACGATCGATTTCTTTAATAGTGTCTTCAGCATGGCATATCTAGCCTTTTTGCAAATTCTAAAAATATATTATACTGCCTATTTATATCTTGTTGTACTCTCTCATATCCACTAGCAACATGAGGCTAATTTTGCACACACATGTCATACATCCAAGAGGAGCCTATGAGATTTTACAGGAAATATTATTCATATGGGCCGAGGGCCCATAATTCCTAGTAACACTAGTATATGCCTAAAATGGCATGGAAGAAATTGTCAATAAAGAGTTTACTTTTACATATCGCGACCGCTGGTGCTCCTCCCAACGTCAGCCCTTCCGCCATCAGAAACGCAAGCATGTGATCATTGGAGGGATTTCTGTTTTGTACACATATATATCGACCGCAGCCCCCACCATAATGAAAAGTCAACAAAATCACATCGAGAAAAGATGGAACTTAGCCAATGAAATGTAGGGAATAATCCAGACTTTTATTATTGGTGATACTAGTAGCTAGAAGGAATTGTGCCCCTCAAGCGTGTAACACATATATGTACGGAATTTTCTCTTTATGGTTATAATCTATGTTTTCCACGGGTACCTTTATTTGCTCAGATATGATCGTGGGGGAGATCTTTGTCATCAGTGTGACACGTTGATTAGACCACCAGGAATTGTGACAGGGGGCCTCTGGGAAATATTGTTGGCGATCTCGGGGATCAGAAGCTTCGCTGGGCGCACGGATGAGACACTGGTTCTGAATCAGCAGCACCGTGGACGTGATCACTGTTTTAGGTGGAGAGGATCGTATCTTCCTCGATCGAACACACAGCCACACATATTTTTATATTGGCTTATTAATTATTAGTTGGCCCAGTGCAACTATCACATTAAAATAAAGTTTCGTACGGACATTAGAAATTATTTAAGTGATAGTATTTTTGTGAAAGGGCACGCCAATATGTCTAATATAAAAGAATATCGTTGGGCCCCATAGCTGTTGCAATATAAATCTTTTATGCACATAAGAACAGGATATACGCAAACTCTATAAAAATATATACGTACTCACATGAGTTTTTTCATAATACTCACTTTGGGGTATCTAGTAACTACCGATGAAGTATATTAAAAATGATTAAAAAGGTATTATCAATTCATCTATCTGGTATGAAAAAAATTACCATGTGACCAACAGAATAAGCCTTCTCTTTCCTCCTCTAGAAGAAAATATCCCAATCTTTCCTCCTCTCATCGGCGCCGCCACCAGTCCGTCTAATCTCCGATGGCCTTTGGTCCATGAAGGTGTGGAGGACCTCAACGCCCCACCGGCGGGAGGGACCCCATTCTCGTTCTTGTTAGGTTCATTGTCTTACTTGGGGCTGTGTGCCGCCGGTAATGTCCCTCAGTAGGAATAATCTCTCTCATGTTCCATTCCCGTCCCGATGGTGAGTCTAGCGTCGCCGGAGGGCGTGTGGAGGTTTGTCCCCGTCGGATCTTGCGGGATTCGGTCCGTGCTGGTCTTCACTGGATCTGTTTGGATGCGATGTTCGTTCATCTTCGTTTGGGTGTTTACAGGTTTGATCCGTCCGATCTATGACTTTCTTCATCGATGATGGTTACTGCTCTAGTGTGCTGGTCCTATGGGGCCTTAGCACGACGACCTCCTAATTGTCCGCTACAATAAGACTTGCCCAGCTCTGGCGAGGGAGGGGCGATAACGCGGCTTGGACTCGCTCCAGTATTTGTATTCGTCGCTAGGTGGTCCAAGAACCTGGTTATAATTTTTATTACCTCTGGTATTCTTTGTACTGTCATGATTGAAGATGAATAGATTGAAAATTTATCACGCGAATAATCATTTGCCTCATATGTTAGGAGTGGGAGTACATACTCCCAGACGTATTAATTTCTGTTGAGTTCTAGATAAGTAATTAAGCTTCGTACCATCAATATACAAACATATCAAACAACATAAGGAGCTGTGGGCAGCTAGCTACATAACTTTGCTTTGCTATGAAAAAAATACTGATCAAAAGTTAATCAAGTGCCAGCTAAGCAGTTTGTCCACCTGAATTCCGTCTAGTTGCACTAACCACTAAGGACCTTTTACATTTGTGCTCTCCGCCATGCTTGTTGATTAAGTTAGTTTGTGCCGAGCTTCATTAGTAATACATTTGAGTTTATCAATGCATTTATTTGTTATGCCTTTTAGCAACATGAAAAAAAGTTTAGAGAAGTCGATGATCCATTACTCATTAACACCTTATTTTACTTTATGGCACAATAAAATAAGTATGCAATAGTCGATGCCATCAGAACGATGCCTGAACATGGAGTTGTGGGTGGTCGGCAGTATTTCGATTTTTCTTACACATTTAAAAGTTTCAAGAAAATAAAAAATATTTATGTGAAAACTTGTATGTGTTCATTACTCATATTTTTTTAGCGAACCATACTTGGACTTTATGTTTTATGTAGTGTTCATTACTGATCTTTGTAATTTTGTTTGAAAATATTGACATTTGTATGCTATTCAGAAAAGAAATGATGCATGATTCTGAGTTAATTAAAGAACAGGATATTGTGAGTTGCACCTAGCCAACATCGATTCTTCTCTAACTCCTTAAAGGGGACAGCACCTAATCCTTGGTGCATTGAGATCTTAATTGCTTATTCCTTGCGATCTAATATTTTTCTAGGGGAGAGACAGTGATCGTACAATTAAAGTGGTCGATTGGAGTTCTAAATAAACGATTGATTATAAAACAGCAGCACGCCATGCATGCTCCTCCATAGTTTAGCAGATTGCGGCTATTTTTTATTTTTATTTGGCCTAGACTTGGGTTAGGTGCAAGTAAACTTGGCTTACAGAGCGCCCCCCTCAACCACAAAAGAAGCTAGCTAAAGCATACATTTGTTTGGAGACTTCTTCGTTGAAGCTTGAGTCCGGCTGGCCTCCATGTGTACAACAAAAGATAAAGGCAGGCAAAATATATTCTTTTTGAGACTTTGGCCATGCATGCATGTTGTTCTGCCATCTTTCCGCTTATATCAAAAGCATGGTGAAATTGTACTACATGTGTTTCTTGATTAGCCATATGTCTTGATCTCACAAGCACCATAGTTAATTAATGGTCCTCTGCCATATCTCACGCTAATAAAACTCTTTGTATATGGACAAACAAATTTTGAAAAGAAGCACGCGAAAGGGACAGAAAGCAGAAAAGAATCGAACGCTCTCTGCCTTGAAGACTAGATTAAGGAAGAAAAACTCAGAATCGTTAGCTAGCTAAGCATTGATTAACAGCTAATTAATCTGTGACGCCTTAGTTCCATCCACTGTGGTTCATTATTAATTTGATCTGATGGTGTCGTGTGGTAGCTAGCTAGCTAGCGCCTTAAGATATAATATACACCGATGGATCAGTTCATTCGTGCCATCAATCAAGTCAACTTTAATATCCACAGAATCTAATCAGAATTAGCAGCTCACCGTGTTGAACGTGGCATCTTTGAAGCGACTATTCCGGGCTGATTTCTGCCTGTATCCGGTAGGCTAAATGGATCTTTTCTGCACGTCGTGATTCTCGACAAGCCTAGTTAAAAACCTTCCTTCTAGGATCTCCTTTGCACCTAGAAGGTATAAAAGATATTGCCATTTAAGTAAGTGAGATATTTTTCATTTTCTTTTGAACTGGTCAGAAGGAAGAGTTTCTATTAACAGTAACTGTGTAGGTGCGAAGGATGTTCGGCCATTCGAACTGAAATATGGAAAGGTCAGTTTTCTTCTCCTTACGCTGCAATAATGTTGTTGTATTCTTACCTAAAATTTTACAGCCTCCATTCAGGTTGATAGCCCCACGCATATTTGAAGCTAACTTTATTATTATTATTATTTTGGTGCTAACTTCATGTCATTCAATTAGTATTCATAAGAAGTTTTCAAGGGTATAAATTTTATTGCACATAACTCATATATTACTGAATTGTTACGAATATATTTTCAACCCGACTCCCGTGTCGCTCCCCGTGAGCGGCCCGTGAGGAACCCTAGCCGGCGCCCCCAACCACCACACTTTAGTTTGCTCATATTGCTATGCATTAGAAATGAAGGATGGACGGGCA